CACACACACACACACACACACACACACACACACACACACACACACACACACACACACACACACAAAATAATATGTAATATTCTAAATGTGCCAGTCTACATCATGAGCAATTTTTCAGTTGCTCTTTAATAATTATGCTTTTAAACATTTAATAAAAAAACTGATGTTTTGCTTATAATAAAAGTTAAGTGCAGGGTTTCTATTAGGGATGGGAATCTTTTACTCTCTCACGATACGATTCAGTTCTGCTTTTTGGGGCTACGATTCGATTCAAAATAGATTTTTCATTGAAAACTGATAATGTGAGCCCATTTATCATGTTTCCAAAGAGCAAAATAATCGTCTTTTTGCAAACCTCACTCATGTCAAACTCTGACTCATTCAGTAAAAACCAAAATGAGCCCAAATCGTTGCATTCAATGAAGACAGGGTCAGTTGAATCTCTCTTTCCTCCAGTTTTGTAGTTTCCTCTTTGTTTTGGTGCTTTCTGCACATTCATATGTTCCAGAAGCAGCTGCGTGATGATGTCAGGACGTCCCACATAGTTACAAAATGGAGGCTGACAGCCATTGGGTTTGCTTTATTTGTTTATTTATTTATTTTTCATTTATAAAAAATCGATTTTGGGATATTTTAAATCGATTCTGAATCTTTGTAAATGAGAATCACAATTCTAATGTAAAACGATTTTTTGGTGCACCCCTAGATTCTATGCAGTTTTGTGTCTTAAAAAATGGATAAAAAGAACATATAATCTGGAAGAACATTTCCAGACTTTACAAAATCTGTTTTTTTCTTTAAGCTTAAACAGCAAAGTTATTTTCAGATCTAACATATAAAACATGAGCATGGAGTACAGTGTGAAATAGTGAAACGGGAAAGGTGCAGCAACACTCAGCAGAATGAAAATGTAAGTTCTCAGTGTTACTGTTGCACTACTGAAAACACATCTTCCACTGCTGGCAGTTTTAAAATTATACACAGATTGCATCATAACATAATATTTTAAAATATTCTTGAAATTTATTTAAAGGGGACATGATGTGCAAAATCCACTTTTTTAACCATTAAATGCATTTTATTGGATACCTGGAGTCTCTAGGAGTGCAGAAAAGTTTAATTTAGTCTTTCCCGGTGTTGCATAGATATCTTTATATAATCCTTTTGGGTCATATGTTTCAACCTGTTCAGTTTTCTTCATTGTCTATGACATAATTTGAACTATTACGTGAAATTATTTGCAACAGAACTGCCAAAGGTCTGGACTTACCAATTACAATTCTGTCGTCCCTATTCTCCTCTGGCTCCAACATGTAAGGCTGGATGGACAAGTTTTCTGTTGTTGACATCTTTTAATTAATTTGTAAATAAAATGTTTGTGTGCTGCTAGATAGACATTACCCCCTCTATCAAACTAGAATAGACCATTCTGGAAGCTGGTTTGAGACAGACCTCCGAAAAGGGATGAGAGAAAACCTGGTAAAATTAAAATAAGGAGGAAATCAGACCAAAGCATTGTAGTTCCACTTAATATAAACCCCAACTGACTGATTTTCAGTGTGAAAAACAAAAGGTTTTAAAAGCACAATATGTCTACATGAAACACCCTTAGTAAGCACCCATCATTGTGATGATGACAGTTGTTCCAATTGTGATTGATCCACCCTGTGAACACAGTAACATTCAGACGTGTTTTTGTGTTCAGTCACCATTGCTTGAAGCAGCACCATAAAAACACTTATGTAACTTAGAGCACTGGGGTCTAACAGCAGACATACAAGAAAGCAAAGATATAAATATTCACTCAAGCATAGGTAACATAAAAAGTCTCTGTGTTGATCTAATCAAGAAATACAGGTTTAGGCTTTATTAACCCAACAGTTTTTTATCTACTCAAACAAATCAGTATTAAACCAAGGACGATTGCAGTGCGAGCCTTATTAGCACTCTTGGAAGTTGGTTTAGTTTGACATTTTTCTTCAAATAAAATTGTTAAAGTTGATAAAAAGGAAGGTGAACTAGATCAAATACACATAAGTCACAAAAAAAATCATTTCCTAAAACTTGAACTGCACTCGCTTCAGGTTTAAGAGCATTCATTATTAAATATATTATTATAAGATCATCCTCTAGGGTGCAGTGTTAGACCAGAACAGATCCACTTTCATGGTGGCTGTTTGTATTTATGGGTTTTATTTCCAGCTCCTGTTTTTTCTTTACTTTTTTCACCTGATCACTCCTCATGCTATCTATCCTCTTTTTTTTTTCTTGTGCCCTCCTTTCATCTATTTTTTTACAGAAGCATTGTCTGCATATTATCCCCAATATTAATGCTTTTATCTGTCATCCATCTGTTGTCTTTAATGTAACTTTACAACATATGCATGTTTTATTTTTCTTCATGCTACTTCTTGGTTTCATATTTCTACCTGTAGTTTCTGACACAGTTAATTTATTTATATATTTTTATTTTATTCTAGGAGCGGGATGCTTACCTGCCCTTTGCAGAGAGTGCTAGCAAGATGTATTTTGTCATCACAGACCTGTCAAAGATCAACAACATGTACTGCTTCAGCCTTGCTTCCTTTTTGCGCCTGTTCCAAAGAGCTCTTCAGACTGAGAAGGTAATGAGATCCCTCACAATGAGGGGTTCAGTACATACTTTTTTATTCATAGAAATACTCCAAATAATTGCAAGATGTAAAATTGATTAAAGAACATCAACAGAACACCTACATTGAACTATACAAATTCACTAATTGTGAAACAAATCTGCAAATATGCTACACTGCACTATAGTCTTAACATTAAGCACAAGGTAAATCCTTAAAAAATGTATTTTTCTACCTACACAAAAAGACAGCATTCATTCTGCTGCTTCATTCTCCTTAGTGTTTTCTAGTGTTTTTTGTGTTGAACATGTTGCAACCTTGTGTAAAATGCAACAACACATGTTTAGATTTAGAAATCTCTATTTCTATTGTTTTTACCTGATTGCAGCCATAAAGAGTGTTTACTAAACCCAAGGCACTGCTGTGAATACATACTTTTTAAAGCTTATTTATTATTCGGATCATATTTAGTAGGATAAAGGAAAGAAAATTAATTTACTTGAATGCACTGCTGTATGAATAAC